CGTAGCCCGGCTCTACGTGACTTCTCTGACCCAGTGCAGAGAGGCTGGAGGAGCTGCGGACGTGCGCAGGAGCACACAGCCCCTCCCCTCCCCAGCAACGACCTCCCTTCTCCTCCGTGAGCGAGGGATTAGATCACTGCTCCCTTTTCAAATGGAAAAACCCCAGTGCCTGGGCTGAGGTTTGCTGTGCAGCCGTCAAAAACAGCAGGGCAGCAGTAAAGATCTGGGCTTCCTAGTCCTATGATGCCCCTGGGAAAGGAGAACAGGCTGCTCCCACTCCCACTGCAGAGAGGCCCAGGATTTGGGGAACCAGAGCCTGCTCTGTGCCCATCTCCACAACCCCCCGACACTTCTCCCCCAGTAAAGCTCCCCACCCCTGGGCGCGGCAGGATCGAGCCCCCCGCGAGCACGTCAGCACCCTCCCCGCGGCACGGACACCCCGAGTGAAAGGGGCGCCGGGAGCGGGCGGGCAGGAACCGCGCACGCGCTAAACCTCATCGCCGGCTCCGCACTTGGAGGGCGGGTTTCGCTGCCAGAAAGGGTTGGCTCTCCCCCATGTGGGGATGCTGCTGTCTCTTTAAGAACTGGTCCAGCTCGGATCACATGTGCCCTGAACTGCAGCACACGGGAAAGAAAGAGACCGGCCCCGGCTGCTCACCTCCATTTTGCTGCAGCCGCGGAGGAGGCCGGAGCACGAGTGCGGGGGAAGGTGCTTGGCAAAGGGTCAAGATGCCGATGTTTTGTATTAACACTAACGTGAGCAAGGATGCGGTGCCCGAGAGCCTGACCGGGGAGCTCACCCAGCAGCTGGCCAAGGCTACAGGCAAGCCGGCCCAGGTGAGTGCAGCGGGCGGGCGCACCCGGGCTGGGCACAGCGCAGAGCCCCTGCCAGGGGGCTGAAGCCTTGGCTGCGTCCTGCATCTGCCCCGTCTGACCGAAAAAAAAACACCCTTATACAATCCATCAGTAACCTTCAGGCTGTTCGTTCCTCCAGCAAGAGAGGAGCTCAGTCCCTGCCGTTGCAGAGGGCGCTGCAGAGCCGGAGCCCCCGCCCGCGCGCGCCCCGCCGGGCCCAGCGCATGGAGGCTGGCAAGGGCCGGCTCCCCCCTCCAGCCGGACAAGTACACACGTGTACGAGCGATGCTGCAAAGTGAAGCCCTTGGTTGGGAGAAAAGCCCAGCTCTCGCTGCGCCTTGGGCTGCAGCAGCTGAGTTACCACATCCAAGTCTTACTGAAAAGCAAACACAGTTGGGTTTATCTCATTTCCAGCAGATAAGTTTTGGGTGGGGAGAGGAGAGAGCAGGGCCATTCTGCTGGCCTGGTTAGCTCTTCAGCTTAACACAGGTGCAAATTAGGAACTTGCATCTTGCAAATAAAGTGGATGAGCAACAGAAATTAGCTGGCTGCTCTCCCCATATGCTGTATTTTGCTCTCTAGCATCTGCAAAAGCAGGATCAGAGTTAGCTTTTGTTACAGAGGGATGCTGATAGAAGACTGATGCTCTGTCAGGTCACATTTTTCTCACTGATTTGGGCTGCAGTATAGGCCAGTGAGTTGGGGAAATGGTCTGGCATAGGAATATGGGTAGAAGGAACATGGTTTTGCAATGTGAGTTCATCTTAAAAAGAAACACAGTTACAGATCCTTTTACTCTGGGAAAGTGTTTCCTAAATACTTTGGCCTTGCTGAGACTCCTAAGACCACTTGACAAAAGTGGAGGAGCCTGGTTGGCTCCCAGCTAGCAGATGGGACAAAAGCAAAAGTTTGGAGAGATTAAGTGACTTGTCCAAGGTTGGGGGTGTTGGTTGTATCGCATTTACCCAAGAACCTTGTCTGCCTATTTTCCAAAGTTGTAGATAAAGTAATGTGTCCATGCTGGCACTGAATTCAAATATCATGCTTGTTTCCACCAATGGAGCTATCTCACCCTGTTACCTTAACCTCTTACACGCAGGGTTAGAAGATGACATGATGAAAATGCCAGCATCCAGTCTGTGCTAGCACTCAGGCGTGACTCCTGATGTGCCAACAAAGAGAGTCACCCCAGTGTAAAATTTGAAGAGACAGGCTAGAGTACACAAGGCCAGTGAATGGCAAAGACGACAACAGAACGGAGATCTCTGAGCTCGCTGTCCCCATGCTAAATCGCACCACAGCTACTTGGCAGACATGTCCTGGGCTAACAGAAGCACACTGACCAGATAATGGAGATTTTTGCTGGGTGGCTTGCTTGTATTAAGCTGCTGAGTTCTGTACTCCTGTTAGCCACAAGACTTGCCTTAATGTGTATGTAGTGTAACATGAGGTTCTGAAATGAGTCTACAGGTTTGACCTATGCACAGCGTGCACTGAAACATTTCTTGCAATGCACTGTCACCTTCCTGCAAGCCCAGCCTCCTTTCTAGAACTTAGTGGGTGCCTCCAGATGAGTGCGGACGTTTAGCTCCCTGGGGACAAGTAGCAGCAGTGCACCATGCGCTTCAGCTACTTGTCTCTGGGGAACACCCGTGCCACACATGCTTTGGCATGCAGCAAGTTACCCCAGGGGCAGGGGAGGCTGGGGCTAGCGCTGGACTGGTCCCAGCAGCTTTATCTGGGGTCTTGGAGGCCTCCCAAGGCTGCAGCTGCAGTGATTCTGCTGGTCAGAGCCTGGCCTGCAGCCAAACACAGTTCTGGGCAGCCCAGCTCTGCTTTTCAGCAGTGCACATTGCCCAACCATGTGCTGCTCTGTTGCGTTTTTTTTCCCCACAGGTGTGGGTTGTTGCTTTTTTTTGACACTGGGTAAAAAAAAAACCCCATGGAAAAAAACAAAACAGAGCAGTGCATGCATGGGCAAGCATGCCTTTGCAGCACAGAGAACATCTGACTGTACAGTATGTGGCACTGCAGACATGCCTGCGTTGCCACATACTGGACGGCCATACTCATCTGAATGCACCAATTAGTCTTGACCCGCTATATAAGGTCCTCACCATGTGCACCTTCTATAGTTCCTACAAATACTAGGAAGACCACTGTCTTGGCAGTGGAAGGCAGATAACTTCTCTCTCAAATGATTTGGGAACAACACACAGTTGTATGCATGCCTGAGGTACACTGCAAGAGCTGCTGGAGAAACATATAACTTAACTGGTTTAGGTTGCAGTAACTAATTCTAGAAAAAGTCTGTTCTTTGCATTCAAAACAAATACAGATCAAGCAAAGGAAGACTATTACACAATAACATTGTTTCTCTTGTTTCACAGTACATAGCAGTGCACATTGTACCTGATCAGCTGATGTCCTTTGGGGGATCCACAGATCCCTGTGCTCTCTGCAGCCTTTACAGCATTGGCAAGATAGGAGGGCAACAGAACAAGAACTATACGAAGATAATTTGTGACCTGCTCACCAAACAGCTGCATGTACCTGCAGACAGGTGAGGCTTCAGTACAGCAGCAGGCCTGTTATCAGCTTGTCTTAAAATGCTATTTTTGGCCCCCTTCTTATGTTCTTTGGTTGTGTGTCTCTGTCTTGTGTTTTTAACAACCTAGAACTTTTTTTGTTTCTTTCAGCAACATCCCCCTCCAGTTTCACTAATATTGTGAATGGTCAGAGCCCCTTATTCTTCAACTTGGCAGCTCTCATTAAATGATCTTATCAAGCTTCTATATAGAGATGCCCCTGTTCTGAAAGTTGAAGTGTGCTCATTCCCTGAGTTGAACTGTTCTGGATCTGTAGTTCTGGGGTAAACCCCTATACAGCTAAAGTCGATAGTATCAGCCTTCTAGGATTACAGTTTAATATAATCTCACTCTTGCGTTTGGAAGATGATGATCAAAGGTATGATATTCTGTCTCCTGATGTGAACAGAGATCACTAGATAGGAAAAAGCAGCAGTAGAAGGTTGGTGGTTACAGGTACAGAGGCCCAATCCAGTGCAATTCTGCTACTCCATAATGAGATCAGAGCATCCTTCCTCAGTACCAATTGGCAAGAGAAAACTGCTGCTCCCTGTCACCTGGAGGATGAAGAAAAGCAATTGCAGAGCTGGCCTAAAAAGCTGGTTTGGTGTTTGCAAAGGTTGTCATGCTCTAAGAGGTGCCACCTCCTCACCTAGTTGTGCTATTAGGTGGTGGATGTTCACACACACAGTGCGAGACTTGCCATACTCAGGTCTCTAGTGTCTGATCAACTGGTGCTTTGAGCAGGCATGTAAAAGGAAGTGAAGTTTCTGGGCTTATGCCAAAACTTACTAATTGAGACCTCTTTGTTTCTAACAGGTTTTAATCTTTTTTAGAAAGGAGAACTTGAAATGATTCCCTTTTAAAGGGAGGCAAGGATTTCATAGGGTGATCTCTCCTATTGGACAAACCACATAATTGGGATTAAGTTAGATGAGTGTTTGAATGGTCCAGTAAAGGGGCCCAAGGAATCCTTCCCTCTTGCATCATTTCAGGACCCTCATGGCTACGCCTTCCTCTGAACAGGAAGCATTTTCCTTCAGGTGAGAGTTACCTGATGCTGTCACACTCATCACGCTCTCAATGTCCCTCTGCCCTTTCCTGCAGGGTCTACATCAACTTCTTCGACATGAATGCCGCCAACGTGGGCTGGAATGGCTCCACCTTCGCATAGGGCAACCCCCCCCAGTCCCCCCCACCCCGAGCTGGACGGCTGCTCCTGGATGTGCCCCTTCTCTGCCTGCCTGCAGCGACTGTGGCACGAAAAATCCTCTCACCGACTCGTGGTCCCTCACCACCGCCTCTGTGCAGTGCTTGCACATTCCTCTGTTTTCTATCTGTAAAAAGTTAATAAAGGTCTGGAAGGAAGTGGTGTCCCGAGTGCTCCTGCTGCTGTGGGGGGGGGGCTTGTGCGTGTCCAGGGGCGGGGGGCCCCACACGTGCCCGAGCTCGCTGCTCCTATACCCGCCCCTGCCAGGCTGCTGGCCCGAGGGGGGGCGGGGACTGCTCGCGCCTCCCGGCCCGCAGGGGGCGCTCGCGAGGCCCGGCGTCGCTATCGAAAGGCGCCAGGACGCTACGTGACGTAATCACCGCGCGCCCAGGAGCGGCGGGCTGGGGCATGGAGCTGTTCCGCATCAGCAGGTGAGCGCAGGGGGGGCACGTGGGCGCTCGTGTGGGCGGTGGCCCCCGCGCGGGAGAGGCCGGGCCAGGGGCTCTCGGGGCCTAGGATTGTTCCGGATCCAGAGGGTGCGGGGGGGCCCGGCCGTCGCTGGCACCTGCCCGAGCGTGGGTCTGCCTCGGCCGCCGGGTTGAGCCAACTAGGGGGCGCTAAGCCGCGAGTCCAGGAGCCGCGCAACCAAGGTTACCGTGTTTCCAGCCCTGAGAAAGAGGACACTTGTCGGGGGACGCCTTGCTCCCGCCTCGCATCCCCCGGTCCTGTCGGTACCCCTTGCTCCCGACCCACAGTTCCCTACCCCCAGGCCACAG